GGATATCTCTAGAATTGAAAGAAATATTTAAATTTAAAGAATTTTATTTTTTTGTTGCATTATTTATGATCGCCACTATACTTACCCAGTAATATTAAAATATTATTAAAAGTATTCAAATTCAAAAAAAAAAAATTCTTATGATTTAAACAGATGTTAGATCTAATATTTTGAGGATCGGAGAATCGCAAATCAATAAGTAAAAAGTATAAAACTTATTAATCATTTTCCTACTGATAAATTACTTTTTTTAAAAAGTATCACGTCATTGATGTATTTAGTCTATTAAGAGCTTATTATTAATAAAGAAAAGTATATATATATATACCATGAATTTCCAATTTTTTCTTTTAGTTTTTAACTATGTTTACTAAAATTTAAAATATTCATCTTGCTGCGCGTCAAAATCGTAATCGCGCTCTTTTTCGTCAAAGACATTTCTGTACCCTAAAAAACAATAATTCAAATGAATCAATTATTAATAAATTGACAAAAATTGAAAATGGAGTATGGAAATTTGAATTTAAAATGGACAAGTTTGAAAAAAATTTATCAAAATTAGAGGACAAGTTTATCAAAATTAGAATCCAAGATGGACAACCTAGAAATCAAGGTGAACAACCTAGAAAAGGCACATTTTGAACTAAAATCCAAGGTGGACGGAATGCCAGCTAAATTAACAGGATTAGTCTTCACCAGCATAATCGGAGCGACCGCACTTATAGGTGTATTTAGTTGAAATGTACAAATGGTCTTTATTCCAAGTAACAAAATCAAAATCCCGACACCTGTTCCTAAAATTACTGGAAAGAAAAGTTAAAATTAATGTAATATGATTAATTATTTTCTTTGACTACTTTGAATATATGTTAATATGCGTTAGGGGATGCGTTATAGGAAGTCGTTTTTCAGGGGGTTTTTTTCTGCAAAAATTTCAATGTAAAATTTCAATGTATTAATGAAAATAAACGAAGTGTGCTATATAAATATATCAGTGATAAATATTAGAGAGTAATGAAATTTGGAGAATATATGGGGTCTTTGCAATAGAAAGGGGGGAAACTGCCGGAAAAAATCAATTTTACTTTATATGTCTAATATGATTTTTAGGCTGAAATATGTTCAAATTTAGCATTAACTCATTTTTTAATTTTCCGGCAGTTTCCCCCCTTTCTATTGCAAAGGCCCCATATATTCCTTTGATTCAAATAAATTTTTTTATTTTTGCGAGATTTTTGTGCAATTCATTAACCAAATTGATTTTTAAATGCTCATATTAACTTATTATAATACTTTGTTATTAAGGTTTAGGTTCTCGTAATCAAATTTTTTAGTATAAAGAAGGAAAATTTTTAAGGAATTCTTGTATAACTTACATGACTTTATGTGTAGTAATGTTGCCCTTAATTTGAGCTAAGGATTATTTAACAATACAAATTCAAGAACTATGGGGGGTCTCTTTCAATGGGCTTAAGTCCAGCAACAGTAAAAGCAACGGCAATATCTGGACCAGTTCCAACATGTGTGGGTTGCCAATCGCTAGGATTGTTAAAGTCTTAAGTCCTAGACTTAAAGGTATTACTGTAATGGCGCAAAAAAAAAAAAATGGTAATTACATTAATAATATTTGTTGTTAAAAATTTTATGAAATCCCCAATACATAAATCCAAGCCTAAATTTCGTCTAGTTTTCGAAAACCTATTCCATATTGAAGTAATTGTTATGTCTTTTTTAGAGGTTTATTATATCTTTAAATTAAAAGAAGAAAAGAACTAAGAGAATTATTTTAAAATTTGAAATTTAGATTTTATCAAACTTGGCTTACAAAGAAAAACGAATCAACTGGATAACGTGAAAAGTTTATGAAGGTAATGAAATTTATTTAAAGAATTTATAATTCACTATTTAAATCTGTAATAAAACAAGAACTATCGCCCTGTTAGATATTATACCCAGGAAGGTATCAAACTCGTGTCATCAACCGATCATTCAATTATCTCGAGAACAACAAAGATCCACATCCCGAAGATCATGCAACCAGCCTCCTACGTCAACGATCCCGTGACCAGCAAGTAATTTACTAGAATCGTAGAAATTCTAAAAAAATAATAGCTAAAAAAAGTAGGTATAAAGACAAAAACTTAAATAATTTTAAAGTATAATTAATTAAAATAATAAATTAAAATTAGTAAAGATGAAGGCTAATATGTTAGGAAAATCAGTTTGAAAATCATTTCATTTTAATACAAAACTGGACCAATATAACAAATAGCCTTTCGTTCATTAATTAGATTTTTAAAAGTGATAGGTAATCGGCAAAGATTCTGATTAGCTATAAATGAGTATTTTTATTAAAACTTTAAATATGATAAATAAATTATGTTCTAATTGGCTTCTTTAATAATAATTTTTGTAAATAGTATTATTGACTAAGTAAATCGTTTTTTAATAAATCATACTAACATACCATACTTACATTCTAATTTGCCATTTTATTTTTCATTCCCTGCACTAGTCCGATCATCGACAATCATTGTTGGTCATCTCACTGCATTTGAAAATATGTTCCAATGATTTACTATTTATATTAAATAAAAAACCCGAAATTTTCATCCTGTCAAAAATTTTATTCACGAAAATAGATTACGTTTTATAACAGATTTCAGATTTATGCTTACATTAATAATCTATTTGGAGAAAAACCTTTTAAGTTGTATTTTATCATCAAAAAGTTTATAAATACAATAAACACTCCGAGAATTTACATGTCAAGGTTCGTGTTTACTGACGTTGATACCTAAACTGAAATCAAAACCTCCAGCTATTGTTGTTCAAATTTCTTTAAATGAATATTATCCAATTTTTTTTTGCTTTTTAGTATCACACTAATGAATAGCAACAATGATACTTCCAAAAAATTACAACAAAATCAAAAGAAGATAGACGATTTTAACAATGATATTGATGAGATTCCATATTTATCACCTATCCCTCCCATAACCACAAACAATCAAGATGAATCATTCGTCGGTAATAATTCAGGAATTCTATATAAAGACATTATTTTACCAGATACAGGATCAAACATTTCTTCTTTTACACCACGTAGAGAAAGTTTTGCGTTATCAGATTCAGAATCAAATCGTCCATCAACTCCGTCATTATTAATACCATCAAACATAAGGAGACGAGCATTTTCTACATCTTCAAGGCCAAAAGATAGATATTCAATGCATGAACTTGGATCTAAAATTGATGATAATAGTCTTACTAGAAAATTTTTATCACCAACAAGACACAGTATGGCATTTGATAATAGATTTGGTATTAATAATACAATAGTGGGAAAGAATTCATTGGAGGATCGTGAATGGAATATAGATCGTGAGAGAATTGGTAACGCTGGTAAAGGTTTTGGGAATTTAATTAATGATGAAAGTGGAAAAGGTAAGTAATATTTTTAAATATAATAAATTATATTGCTAAATTCCTCGAATAATAACAAATTTTTATTTATTAAATATATTAGGATCTATTGCTGATTTAATCGCTGATGTAAAAGATGAGGATGCTGTCGAATTAGCATTGATTACTCAAAGAAACGCGGATCAAAAAAATCGAATACATCTTACTGAAATGGACATTGAGAAATATAATACAAGAAAAGAGGGTAAAAAAAAGAAATTTCGTTATAGTACATATTTTTTAAATAATTTATTAATTCATTCTCCTTTTTATTTTTATTTTTTTTTTTTTTTAAAAAAAAGGAAATTTAAATTTTGATTTTAATCCTTCAGAAACAACTTTATCTAATTCCAGAATGTGTAAACAATTTCTTGGTAATAAATATCATGTATTATTCAAAATAATTAATAATAACGGAATATATAATCCTTTACAAATTATTAAAAATAGAAAGATTGATATCGAAAGTGAGGGGTCGGTTCATAGTAAGAGATCAAGTGATAAATCTAGAGGAAGTAGTAACAGATTAATTTCGAATAGAATGAAACTGCGTAGATCTTTACTAAGTCACAAAGAAACGAGGATTTGGGATGTATCTCATATGGAAGCAATTAAGGACTATGAACAAATAAATAAATTCGATCAAGTTCACCTTAATAAACTAATGAGTCGTAATAATGGATATGAAATTAATAGTGAAGTTGGTGTAAATTTTAATAATCAAGTGGCGTCTGAACCAGATGAAAATAAAAAACGATTGCGATTATCACAAATATTTATTCCTCCTACAACACAGGAAATGCAAGCTATGAGCTCACAGGGGAATATCAGAAGTAATAGCGAACAATCGAAAAAGACAACCCATTATAGAGCTTTGAGTATGAATAATATAGCAGCTGCACCCCAAGGAAAGGAAGAATCTCATGGTAAATCAAAAAGATGGTCAATACATTTGTTCAAACGAAAAGATAAGAAACATAAAAATGAACCAAGTTCATCCAATGTTGGAATTATACAGGAAGCACCTGACTATTCCTTAACATCGCAAATGAAATCAAAAAGTTCATCTGATTCATCTTCAGGTGATCAAACTTACCGTAATTCAATGGAAGATGGCAGATTCTCATCTGAGAAAAGCAAAGATCCACTGCAACAAGAAGATGAAACAGATAAAACGTATGATGAGGAAATATATTATAATTCTGGAGTTAAGCGTGAAAAATTTATGTCGAAATTATCTGGAGATAAGCAAAATGATCGATTTCTCATTGACGATTGGTCAGATATTGCACAAAATCGATGCGATTCTGAAGACACCGATAACAGCAACCATTCATCAACCATACATTCGGTAGATCTTGAATCGGTAATCTATCGCAATATTCTTAATTATTATTTTAATTCATATTTATATATTTTCTAATTAATTGAAATAAGGATGTGGTTGTCAATGATGCGATTGATTCTTCAAGACGAAATACTGGTGGATATTTAAACGTCGAGGATCATTATGGTAAATTTCTTGGAGATGAACAACTTGTTGACAATCGTTCATCAAGTGAGAACAAAACTGCCGAAGATAGTACAGAATCAGAAGGTAAATGAATAAATCCTTTGCAGAAGATTTTTAAATATTTATTAACGGATTTTTAAATTGTAGTTGAATATGATGAAGAATTTGTTGGTGAGACAGTCCTTGTTAATCTTGATATATTACCACAGGAGCTCGTAGATTTAGTGGCCGAACAAGACATTGTCGTTTGTAATACCAAAAATGGAAACTTCGGTATGTTAATTAATGTACAACAACAGATTCTTTGTTGACTTTATACTCAATACCCAATTATACTTTCAGTTGAGTTGGATGTCGGATTAAATGAACTTTTCAAATTTCGTAAATTAATTGGATGTGGTGGTAAGCATACTAGGATACAATATAACAAGACAATATGGGTTTATATGTTAATTTATTCTTAATACTATAGTTGACTTGTTGGATCTTCAGATATCACTTGTATATGATGATCCCGAAGACAGCAGAAGGTATTCGGAACCTATATTTTTTAATGACTTCAACATATAAAACGTTCATTAACATACAAAAATTTAGTCTAAACCATCAAGATGCGGATAAAGTAATTAAAGAATATGATGAACGTATTGAGGAGACAACTAAATTTTTAGAAGATAATAAGGTTCATTTTAATGATATTTGTTGTTAACGTATTATTGACTGATTAAAAGAATTATTTATGAAATTAATTTATAGGTGTTACTTGCCGAGAGAGACGATGTTATTAATAAATATAATTATATATCAAATAAATCTTGTACATTTGAACTCTTTGACATTCCTTTTGTCCTTTCACCAATATCGAATATTCAAACATTTACTTTTGATAATAATAATCGACTCAATTCATCACCTTCTCGATCGATAATGGCTGAATGTAAGATGAACATTGATGAAGGAATTGAATTATTGAGCGATAGACTAGTCAAAATTGAAAACACGATGAATAAGCTAGTAAAACAACATGTTAGGTAATTAATTATTTTATGACTAATGAGAAAAAACAAATTTCTATTGATAATTGATAAAATATTTATTAAAAGTTTTTCAGAAGAAATGAAAAATATGCAATATGAAATTGAAGAAATGACATTAGATATCAACAATGATTATTTCCACGAGGTAGGTCATTTATTATTAATCTATTTTCACGTTAATAATATATATTAATGATTTTATATTAATGATTTTTAGTTGAAAATTCTTGAAGATGAAATCCATCTTTTAATAGCTGAAAAAGGAAAATCCCCTTGGATAGATGTATTTTATTTGATGATGAGTTATGTGATAGCGGGTAAATTCAATTAATTAATCAATCAATCAATATATTAACCAAGTCTTTAATACTAATTTGTTCATTTATTGTTAGGTATTATGTTTATGTTCTGGTTTATTGTTGCCTGCGGAAAATTATCCAAGAAGATATCATTATTTCCTCGTAGAATGTGGAAATCAGTTCGTCGAAATATTGCATAAATAAATGAGTGACTTGGGATAACCTTCTATAATATTTATTTTTAATTACATCAAGTTTTCATTGCATTTGCATTATTGTATAATTATTTAATTACGATGTATTATAATAGCTCATTTGATTATCGAATATATTTTGTTACATTATTTATTTATTAGCATTCTATACAATTTCATAAATAGGGAATATTTATTCATAACTTTTACAATCATAGCATTAATTTATTTATATTTAAGAATAATTTATTTAATATACAAGCTTTTATAAAAAATGACAAAATTCTTCTTTATATACAAATCATTATTTGGTTAAACCATTAATATTAATTAATTATACTAATTGAAATTGTTCTTTTAAAATTCATCAGCATCATTATTAGTGAAAATTCCATTTAATTCACTATTTTTCAATACATTATCTCTATTAAATTGATAATTAATACTTAGAATAATATCATAAAATCTTTCCCTAGGACCATAAATTTTATGATTCAATTCCCAGGAAACTTCGGGTATGTTTTGATGTAAGTATTCACCAATTTCTTCCCCAAATTTATCTAAAAGAAAATATCCTATTTTACCAAAAGGTGATAACCATTTTAATAAAATTTTACTTAAATTATCATGATTGTTCATGGGTTTTGGTTTTAAATTAAGAGAAGTTATACCATTTGATATTGAAGTTTCTTGAGAAAATGTTATCGTGAATATAATATTAAAATTTTCTACATTTATTTCAGATAATGTCGTACAGATTTCTATTATTGATTGTTTTAATATTAATATAAAATTATCTAATTTGTTTGAAACCAATTTTGCAATTGGTGAAATTTTGGTGGATGATGTTGGGGATAATACATTATCATTTTGAAAATGTGGCGTTTGGGGAATTTGAAAATAATCAAATTCTTCTTCTAATTCTTCTCTAGAAAAATATTCGGAGCCTAATTATAAAAAAAATATTAAATTCTTATTAAAAAAAAAAAAAAAAAAAAAAAAAAAAAAAAGACTTACCAGGTTCAGGCCACACAATTTTATTTTTACGGTAAAATTGCAAAATATAACGAAATAATTTACCATCTCTATCAATGAAATATTCATTGCCATTTGTAGGGTGTAATAAAGCCTTATTGCGTTCTTGAAACATTATACCAAGTAATGTTGTTGGATATGCGGTTAAAGTTGATCTATATGTTTCATACTTCACATATGGGAAAAGTAATGATTTTATTTTCTTTTAGACAGGACTTTTATATTTTTATTAATATATCGTACCTTAACACCGCCTACGTTTAAAATTATTCGTTCTCCTAGAGATTCTGAAAATTGTTTTAACGTTAATGAGAGTTTTCGCGAATTCATTTTTTTTTTTTTTTTTTGGATCCTAACCCGATGCTTTTTATACTTTGAGAAATACTCAAATATTATTGGTTAGATTATGGAAATCGTATATAACAAATTTATTAAAAATATAAAGGTGATTTGAATGAATGAATGAATGTAATGTATATTATGCGTTAATGAAAATTTTTTTTTTTTTTTTAGTAATAAATATTAAAAAAGCTATACAAAGAGAAAAGTATTTAATTTTTAATTATTATGATAAAATTATAAAATGAAATAGTAAAATATTCTAGAAACACATAAATCTGCTTTTCTTAGACATAAGTTCTTCCATACGATTTTCAAGTTGTCGTCTTGCTTTCTCGGCCTGCTCTTTAGCCTTTCTTTCTTCTAACAAAACGTTCTCAATAACTTTCTTTTCTTGTTGAATTGAGGTTTTAGTACGTTCGTATTGTGTTTCCGTTTCCTCCAATTGCATTTGCAAACTCTTCATTTGATTCATTAAACCTGATTTTTCCCGTTGTAAAATTTGTAATTGTTGATTTGCAACACGTAAATTTGACTCTGAATCATTAAGAATAGCTTCTAAAGAGTCTACAAGTTGACGACTTTCTAAATTTTCTCCTTCCATCTTTGCAATTCGTTTATTAAGTTTCTGTACTTCCATTGTAAGGTCGAGCGTAGGCGTGTTTGAACCATTTCGAGATTCTGGTCTTGGTGGAAGAGGAGATTTTGGTGGAGGTGGAGGTGGTGGTAAAGGTTGATTTGGTGGAGGAGTGGGTGGTGTTGCTTTAGGTGATCCATCACGAGCGGCACATTTTCTTAATTCGTTCGTTGGACTACTTGTACGGTACCCACCAACTGCGTCGAGTTCCGCAATTGGTGTACTAGAACGAACTTCGGCTTGTTTCTCGAGCGCGTTAATCTTATCTTGAAGAACTTTAATAAGATTATTTTGCTGAGAAATGGTGGATTCTTCTTGGCAAAGTTTATAAGTACATCCTGAATCAAGTGAATCTCCATTGTCTCCAATAGTATCTGTTAAAGGGTGTTTTGAAACGTTAAGCTCATGCTCAAGTTGTTCGTTTGATTCGATAAGTCTTGTAATTTCTTTTTGCATTTCGGACGTATTTTCTTTAGCTTTTAGTTTCTCTTGAGACATTTCTTTTTCAATTGATAATATCTTTAGGTTCAATTCAGTAAGATGTACGGCAGTTTTATTTCCATCTTGACCAGATGTTTGTAATTGTTGCACCAAGTGTTCTATCCTTTGATCAAGATTTATACGTTCTTCAAGTAATGTTTCGTTTGATAGTTTTAATCCTTCATATTCAATTTCAAGTCCTTTAATCTTCGCCTTCAAAACATCAACTGATGAATCATTATCCGTACGTTTTAACTCATTCTCTAACGTTTTCAACCTTAGGCTTAAAGTTGAAACACGATGTTCAGCTTCTGTAATCTTTTTATTAAGATCGTCATTTGTTTGTCGTAAACTTTCATTCGCGGCAGCAAGTTTTGTAAGAGATGGATTTGAATTAACACCTAAGGATTGAGAATTTTTTGCTATTTCTAATGCAGTTTCCAACTCAGATATTCGAATCTTTTGATCTTTCATTAGAGCCTCAGTATCTTCTTGTTTTGTAACAGCTTCAGCGTATTCTTCAGCTAAAGATTCAAGATCCCTTTGAAGTCGTTCAATTTGCTGAGCAAGGTCTGCATTAATAATAATATGATTATTCTTTTCCGATTTCAACTTGTTTGTTTCCTTTAGTAATGCATCCGCGCGCTCTTGTTGTGCATGTACTTCTTCTAGAACTTCCTTTAATTCTTTCGTAAGGCCTTCATCAATATTTGAAAATTTCTTTAATAAAGAGTCATGATGAACTTCATTAATTTTGTTTTGTAAGGAAACACACTTTTCTTTTAACGTATCAATCTCTGAATTTGCTTCAGCAAGTTGTGAACTGTAATCATCATTTTGTTCTTCAGCTTTTTGAAGTTGAGATTCTAAACAAAGAATAAGTTCTGTTTGTTGACTTTCGTAACTTTTGGCTTGTTCAATACCGGATTTCAATTGATTGATTTGATCATATTTAGCAGCTTCGGATGCATTTAAGTTCTTGAGATCAGTTCTTATCTTTTCAATTATAGCTTCCAATTCAGCACATTTCGAATTTTTATCAGAAAGAGATTGCTCTTTTTCCGATAATAAAGCATTGGCTTCATTTAATTCTATCTCAAGATTTTTGATCATCTGAACACGTCGTTCATCCGATTCTTTTTCATCATTAAGTTGGAAACTTATAGAAGCAAGTTTTTCTCCTAGACTTGCAATTGTTTCCTGATCAACCTTTGAAGATTTCTTGGCCTGTTCGAGTTGAGATTGAAGATCCGAAACTTTATTTTCAAGTGCTACTACAGCTTCTTTTTTTTCAAACTCTTTTGTTCCAAGAATTTCGCTTAATTCTTTGACGTTCTCAAGATGTTGACCTCGTTCTTTCTCAATAAGGTTCATCTGACTTTCAATTTCAAATAAACGTTTATTTTGAGCTTCGATATTCATTTTTGAATTAGATAATTCGGTATTTAAGTTTAATATATCTTTTTCGTCGGCGTCTCCAGTAGCTTTTAATCTTTCTACTTCACTTTCCAATGACCTGATCTTCCTCTCTTCCTCATCTCGTTTTTTCTTCGTAGTGTTCAACAAAATCGAAAATTGTTCATGCTCTTTAATATTATTGGAATGTTGTTCATTTGCTTTTATCAGTTCTACTCGAACATCTTTTAATTCCCCTTCCAAGGTCATGACATGTTCTTTTTGAGCGACAAAATCTTCTTTCATACTTTTTAACTCTTTGGTTGCTAAATTTTTTGTACTTTGAGTTTCTTCAAGTTGATATTGTAATTGTTCAATTTTAGATTTCTGTTCAATGTCTAATTCTTTCAATAATTTGATCTCATCTTTTATCATTTGAACTAGCTCATTTTCCTTATTTGCTTTTGCGAGCTTAGTTTCTAACTCTTGAATGGTAGATCTTAATTGAGATTCAGTTTCTTTAAATTTTGCAAGTTCATCTTTTGTATTAGCAATTGTATCTTCTTGTATTTGCTTTAATCCAATTTCAAATGATTCACTTTTTTGTTTATGCTCGCTTATTTCAGCTTCATAATCCTTTAATGTATTTTCAAGTTTTGAAATTTGTAGCTTTTGTGTGGCTTCTGTTTCTTTAGTAATTGCTAGTTCAGCTCTTAAAGAAACTAGTTCTTCACCAACTTCGAGATCTTGAGCTAATCTAGATTCTAAAACGTTAATTCTTTCTTTTTGTACAATATCATCTTGACGCAATCGTTGTAAGTCTTGTTGAAGTTTTAATTCCTCAGCATTTAGAATCCTAAGGCGATCGACCGTAAGGTTATCATTTTCTTTTACTTCTTTAAGTTCTTTTTGTACATTTTCTAATTCCGTATGTAAATTTAAATTTCCATCTAGCGTCTTTTCTGATTGCAATTGAGATTGAATAACTTCTATTTGGTGTTGCATTTCAGAACCTCGTTTTCTAACTGTTGACAATTGAGTTTGTAAAATATTGACTTCGGCTTCTTTCTCATGGAGCTTCTGTTGTAACATGCCTTTATCAACTAGATCTCTCTTAAGACTTTCAATTAAATCGTACTTTCGTTTAGTATCATTCTTAAGAGTTTCTAATTTTGACTGCATAGTACTAACTAATTCCATTTCAGTTTTTAAATTCTGTTCTGTTTCCGATTTACGTGAAAGTTCCTTTTGTAAATCTGACAATTTATCTTGTAATTTGCAAACAGTCCTATTTGTTGGATCAGCCGCATGTAGGAAAGAATTTCTTGGAGTCGGAATATGCTGAGCTTCTTTTGCTTTCGTTAGTTGAACTTCAAGTTCTTTAACTCTAGCTTCCAACGTTTTAATAGTATCGTTATCAGTTTTTTCTTTATCTGTAATAGTGCCTAATTGATTATTTTTATCTTTCATCACTTGTCGTTGAACTTCTCGAACTTCTTGCAATTCAGCTTCAATTTTTTTAATTATATTTTGTTGTTCAGCGGTTGGCAGTAATAAAGCAGCAATAGTACGATTCTTTGACTCTATATCGGATTGAAGTTTGTCAATACGTTGTTTCAGCGCCAAAATTTCTTTGTTATTAGAATATCCTTCAGACTCTTTCGATAAATCAATATTTTCTCCGGATTCAGATGGATTAAAGCCATCTTCAAGATGTAAAGCTGTCTCGGAAATGTGTTCTTGTCTCCGTACTTCTTTAGCCTTTATAAGCTCTTGTTCCAATTCTTTAATACGTGACCGTAGCTCAATAACCCGTTCATCTTCGTTGTTGTCAAGAGAATGCCTCAATTCTTCTTGAAATTCTCGAATACTTGATTCAATTCTTAGCACTTCATTGCCTTCCTTTAATGATAATGTTTGACGTTCTGACAAAGATTCCATGGCTAATTTTTGCTCTTCTTTAAGTTGTTCAACTTCTTCACGTAACCTTTGTACTATTTCAAATGAATCAGCTTCACTAGTATTGACAGAATAATAAGAAGACGCACCTTCCGTTTCAGATGTTATCGCTGACATGACTTCTATTTGAACGAATGCGTCACGCCTTTTTATTTCTTCACGTAGTTCTACGACCAGTTCTAAATTTTCACGATAATTCATTTCAATTCTTGCGAATTCTTGTTTAATGGCAATCAATCCTTGATCTTTATCCTCATGCAATGAAGAAAGTTGTTGAAGTTCATCACGAAGTCTTTGTATCAAAGCAAGATGAGCATCATCTTTTTCCCCTGATCCATAAATATCCATGGTAAGTGATCTTGTCTTTCTATGGAAGGAAAGTTTTGAAGTAGCTAAATTATTGAAATTGGATGATTTATTCAAACTCGTCGTTGGAGGTAATGATAATCTAAACGCATTTAAATCTGGAGATCGTGGTGAAAACGGCGTGGTAGGAGTAGATTTGAAATCGTCGATCATTTCTGGGTGAATTGCTTTTTCTTCAGCTAATTGATTTTGAAGTCCTTGAATTTCTAAAAGACATGAATGATATTTTGATTTAATATCCTCAAATTCTTGTAAAATATTTTCATGTTCTTTCTGTAAATCAAGAAACTTTGATTCTAAAGAAGAATACTTCATTGGATCATTATTAACTCCAAGTGTAATTGATGGTGAGGCAAATGGAATATCTTTTGAAGTTAAGGATAATTCAAAGTCGTCATGTGATCGAGAAGGATTGCCTTCATGGTTTCTTAATTCTTCTAATTCTTGTAAAAGAGATTCGACTTTTTGTTCAAGGTGTAAAATCCTTTCCTCTCTATCATCTAATTCGTTTAAAAGTATTTTTTTTTCATCATCAATATCAACTCGTTTTAATATCTCGTCTAGTTGATGACATTCCGCCTCACGTTGATGCAAACGTTCTTCAAGTTTTATAACAGTTTCAACTAATTGAGTAGTTTTATTTTCACTTATAGAAAGCCTATTTTCTAAATCTTTAATATATCCTTCCGAATTAGGATGATTAGCTCTCATTTGGACAATTTGTGATTTTAACTCGCTGATTAAATTTTGATCTTGCATTTGTTCTGAAGAGAGTTTTTCAAATTTAGTTTCAAGTTCTTTGATATAATGTTCCGAAATAGATTCTCTCTCGACAAGCTTAGCAACCTTATTTTTTAAATCGTTGATTTGAATCTTACTTTGTTCATTAGATTGCTCGACAAAATCTAATTTACGTTCATATTCTTTCAATAACGAATCAGAATGTAATAATGCAGCTTTTGAACGCGCTAATTGACTTTCAAGAGATGAAATTGATTTTTCGTATTCTTCTATAACAGGCTCAACAGCTTCTTGAAACGATGCATAATTTTTGTAATTTTTCTCATCGAGTTCATTAATTACGGATAATGGTTTTTTAGATAATTGTTCTGTGGTGGCATCTGTATTTAAACCATCAGTATTATCTTGATGCATTGCTAATTCTGCAGAAGTTTTCGCATAACGTTGAGAAAGTTCCGAATAAGACCTTTTTAATTGTAGAAGTTGTTCTTCAAGAGCCTTTACATCTTTATTTTGTACTACTTGTTGCTGTGAAATAATTGGAATATTTGAAGTATTTGAAGAACGTCTTGTATCGTTTGGAGATTCACTTCTAATATAACGTTGTGGAGTCTCCCTTCCATTAATATAACGTTGTGGAGTTTCTCTACCATTTATACCCGGAGTAGTTGTTCCAGACGATGTTCCGTTTGTAGAAGTACCATTTGAACTTACAATTCCAGAAGCTGCTTTAATAATTTTAATTTCATTTCTTAATTTAATTACTAAGCCTTGTAAATGTTCTATATCATTCCAACCTATTTCAATAGCATTCACGGTAGCATTATTTTTAATATTTCTAGCGCGATTTGCATATTTCAATGTATTAACAGTTTCGCTAAGATTATATTCAGCAGGAGATACGCAAGCAATCATTAGGGTTTGTGCATTTCCTCCAAGAGAATCTTGAAGGAGACGAGTAAGCTTCGAATCTCTATATGGAATGTGTGTAGTATGTTTTGCTTTGTTCGGATCACCTAAAGCAGATATTACATTTCCTAAGGCTAAAAGGCCTGAATTGATTGAAATGCCTTCTTTAACACGTTCACCGATAGCAGACGTACGTTTTAACTTTATAATAATAAAAATAATAAAGGTTTGTAAAATAAGTTAGATTGAATTCAATAATGGTAAATCAAATTTTTTTTTTTTTTACTTACTCTTTCACTTCCAGCTAAATCGACAAAATGAAATTTACTTGTAATAGAGATGCATTCACCATCATCTAATCTTTTACTTAACCTTGAACTTGATCTTGAACTTGATCTTGACAGAGGTCTTACACCTGATTTTTGTTGTGAGTCAGTTGGTGGTGGAATAGACCCGGATTTAGATGCAAACTTTTGTTGTTCTAAGGTTACGGAGAAAATAGCATGAGATCTAGAAGATTGAGCATTCATATCTGTCGCTCCGGTTTGACGATTTAATGAACCACGCGTCAAGTGTCTTAACATTTTACAAACAAGTTTAGTTTTTAATTCACTGAAACATGAATTTCATTAATATTTAAAATACATACTCCATTACTTCTTCGACATTATTAACTTTAATTTCTTGTAAACCACTCCATAAAATATTTCCTTTCAAATCTTCTCTAATCAAAACCTGTGGTCTTGATTCCTCTTCACCTTCACAAAATAAATCAATTAAATCTTCATTGTAAATTTCAATAAACGAAACCTTCATAGAAAATTTTCTTGTTTTATATTGATCCGACTGCATTGAAGAAAATAAGGTTGAAATAGATCTTGGGATTATTCCTTTGGATTCCGGTTCTATTAATCCGTTATCTGACGTACCCATTGTGAATGTTTTACCAGATGAGGTTTGACCGTATGCCAATATTGTTACATTATATCCTATAAAGTTGAAAATTGAATATCAATTAAATAAATTCAAAAGATATAATTTATATACGTATATTTATATTTATGAAATTACCCTCTAAAAATTTATCAGTTAATTGGAAGACAGCATTATCATATACATCTTTTTGTGTGGATTCAGGACCAAACACATAATCGTAATTAAAAGTTTGTTTCTTATCATTCTTATCATTAGACACGATAACTTGATTTTGAGCATATGGAGTTGTAGATAACACTGATTTTTGAAATCTCGTGGGTAAATTTGCTAAATCCTCGCTTGTTAATGGTCTTATGCGAAGGGCTATTATAGAAAGAAAAAACAAATATATTTTAAAGTTTTCGGATTAATTCGAAAGTTTATCTTAAATTAAAAATTTCTTTTTTTGTAAATGAACAATTAGATTGATCTAAATTAGGTAAATTTTCACGATGTATGGGATGAAGCGAGCAATACTAACCAACTTGTACAGATGTTTTTTCTAAAGTCATTATTATTATTATTATTATTATTATTGTTAATAAGAAAAGATTATATTACTGTATAACGATAAAGATATTTTAAAGTTCATTCAATATTAATTTATGAATAAAGGTTCCAGCCCGTTTTCGTAGAAAGAAAGTACTTTACAAAAGATATATGGATTTACTTGCGTAGATAATATTGTATGAATGTAATGTGAGGCCCGATTTATATATTATATAGATTGAAATTTATGGAAAGCAAAGGTTTTAAAATTTAAATTAAGGGGAAACAATTATCTTTTTTAATTCGTTGCGTAGATATATATATACATATATATACACAAATACATACAGTACATATATATATATATATATCTAATATGCCGTTTTCCTCCTCTTTTTTAGGGAAATTCTTTCTTGTTTTTGAACTTTTCTGTTTGATTTATTTCTTGAAATTAAAGAGATTGATTTTTTTTTTCTTACATTGAGTAACTTAAAAACCTTTTCATAATTCTGATGTTATGCATGAAATTCGATCGACAAGTGATAAAAAAAAAATAATAATAATAATAAATTATTAATAATTTGTACTTCCCATGTCGGCTGTATGATACTTTATTTAGGAGAAAACCGATTCCCGATGTTGTAGATCTTTTTTTTTATAAAGTAAACGTGTCAAATAGTAATATAAAAAAGTTATACAGGGTCATAGGTACACGGGATGAATTAAACAAAGCACCTTTTCGGGAATTTGTTGTTGCATGAAGCATACGTCAATCAAGGTCGAATTTGTCATTTAAAATAACATTTATTTACATTGATCTGATTTGTCTCAAAAAAGATCTTATCTAAATGAACACATTTTGGGTTCATTATAAATGTCACTTTTTATTATTGCTAATTTTTATATCCATTATCCTTTTAAACACAATCAAAACACATGTTGATGTCTATTTATTATCTTACAAAATCTTTATTTCGCTAACTAATCTCGTGAAGATTTTGAATATTATCACAAAACAATCGATGTAAATTATTTCCTTTTACGAAAATCTCATGTTTTGGATGTGTTTTGTCGAGATTTTTAATTTTTTTAATATAAATAATTTTGTAAAAAAGACAAGTACATACATACATGCATCATAATCACGATTTTACATTGTATTCACGGTTTCCGAATAAATTTGTTTATTAAAAAAATCTTGGATGCTTCAAATTTGCCAATATCAAAAGTATTCACGTGCATCAGGGTATTTACCTTTCGAAAAACAATAACGTTCTGGACTTCACTTAAGATTCGCCACGTGGCCTTGCTTTAATTCATGTGCTAATTCGTAACGTGGAAGCGAAAACGTTTGTTTTAATTTAGTTGCTTGGCTGTTTTTAAAATTTCAAGGAATGAAACAAAATAATGTTTTCCTTCGTAATAATTTAAAAAAAATACTTTTTTTTTATATCAAAAAAAGAAAAGCAAAAGAATGCGTAATATGGCGTTATCAATATCCCTTTACTTTCGGGACACAACAGTTGTAAAGGAATGAAAGTACTATTTTATATTAAAAGTAACCTTTAAATAAAAAGCGGAGAATGACCGCTTTTTTTAGTAATTGTTCTTGCACCGTGCTACAAATGGTGATGCAAATCTCAGATTAACTCATAATTAAGGAGCCTTGCATTTTTGGTCATGTAACGTTACAAAGTTACAAACACATAGCTTAATAAACTTTAAATGATACAGAAAATAATTCTACTCACCTCTCCCCTTTTTTTTTTTAAAAAAAAAAATTCCTCTAACCCAACTTACAAATAATCTTTTTAAAAATTTCATTACCCTTCTCATGAATAACAGATATTTGCAACCAAATTGTTTAACAACAAAGTTGCAGGTCATCCTTTTGTACCCTTTGTCGTACTGCATTTTATCATTCTCATTATTTCAATTTATTAACTCGTCATGAACTCGGAAATTTTTGATAATCAGATATCGTCAATCTTATATGTAAGAGCATTGTATGATTTTGATTCAAAGGACAATTCAAGTCTATCTTTCAAAAAGGATGATATAATACAAGTTCTAACGCGACTGGAATCTGGCTGGTGGGACGGAGTTTGTAATAATGAGCGCGGTTGGTTTCCCAGTAATTATGTTGCTGAAGTAACCGGAATTTTTGAGGATGGTGATGAGGTACCTTTTAAAGTAATTTATCTTAAACTTCATAATGATTTATTAAGTACAACCTTTATCCAATTATAGTTTGACTGGATTACTCAACAAACCCCAGATGGAGATACATTTTATTATAATACAAGGACAGGTGAATCATCTTGGGAAGTTCCAGCGGATGATTGTGAATCTCTTTCAACAACACATACAGCAAGAGACACAATAAGTAGCTTTAGTTCACTCTCAAGGCAATTACCAGAGAATTGGATACAAAAGTTAAGCGAAGATGACAATAATTATCATTATTATAATGTAATAACTAAGGAGATTAGTTTGACTTATCCCGGAGATCCTGATGATGAGATATTCAATTCACATGTAGCACATGTTGAAGACGATTTGGGTTTAGATGATGATGTTACTGATAAAGCAAGCATTGCAAGTTCAAAAGGTAGTCAGTTGAGTACAGCTTCAATTGACACCATACAACAAAGAAGTTTGCAACAAAGACGATCTATTGAAAATGTAATTATTATTACGTACTCTTTCTTTTTGAATTAATCTTTCTTATACTTTTTTTTAAAATTTGTTTCTTTCCGCAATTAGCTTCCGCCAAATTGGAGTACAAGAACTTTGTCTCAAGGGAGGAGTGTGTATTATTACAATAAATTAACAGATGAGACAACTTGGAGTCTTGATAATATTAATGATGATGGTCAATTAGTAAGTTCCATCTTAATAATAGACTTTATTTTGAATTTATTTCATTAAATTTTATAATATTAAATTTAGATAAGGACAAAACACAATGAATCAGATGACGAAGCTCCAAACGAACCTTTACCTCCAATTCCCTCGAATTCAATATCACGTTCACAAAAGAAATTAAAGACTTTCGCAAAACCTTCAATTATCATGCTTAAATATGCCAAAGACAACCTTACTTGGGATTCTCTATCAGAGAATATTGATATGTCTATTCGTAATCTGAATTGGGCAGCTCAAAAGAATATGAAACAAAATTATACGGATTGTATCAACTCTATCGTTGATGGTGTCAGAATTATGCTCTATGCTTCTGATACTGTGGGAAAAAATTCTATTGCGATCAAGCAAAACAGGAAACTTAAATGTTATCATAGGAATATTATGGCATCACTCTCAAAATTGGTTATTTCTACAAAATTAGCTGCAAATGTATGGCCTCCGCCAGATTCTGCGCAAAAAATGAAAAAAGATGCTGAAGTTGTTTTAGGAGCAGTTCGAAATTTTATTCAAACGGCACAAGAAAATGTTTGTATCAAAAAAGTCGATCCAAAATTAATTGAAAGTACTACAAAAGGTTCATGGCGTGGAAATAATCTAGTACAAGTACAAACCAATGTCAACCCATCATCAATGTCCTCAAGTAAATATAATGATAGCACTTTAAACTCTCCTACTAGTTCATCACATCTTTTAACACCCGATCTTATCAATTCATTGGATAAAATTTCTCGTACTGTAACTCAGGCTATTGTATTACTTCTCAATTATGTTAAAAAAGTAGTTGATACTCCTAATTCTTCCACACCCAGTGCAATAGGTTCTTTTTCACCTCAATTGATTTCGCAGACTAAACAAGTCCTTACTCAAGTTGGACAATTTTTAGCTATTATAGAAGATCTCAATTTGCAAGACTTGAATGATTCTAATTTGGCTACAATAAATGAATTCAAAGTTTCCAAACAAGCATTATATAATAATTTATCAGGGTTGGTCATGTGTATTCAAGCGGCTACTTTTCCATTGTCTTTTTTAAGCGCTATGGATCAAGTTTTAGTTTGCACAAATGTTGTGGATAAATCTGTTAAAGATGTTATGATTGCTACAAAATTCCTAGTTGAAGAAAAAGATACACTGGATCAAATGAAAACTCAAGGGACGCGTTCAAGGCGTTCTAGCAATGTTGATTCGACAACAAAAATACGTCCCTCAAACAATTCTAATCCTCTTGATCAAATTGATGAGAATGACACTGTAGACGATCAAACTATTTCAGCTACTACTACTTTTCTCCCGATTTCTAAATCAACTGTTCCTGAAGGTGATGTTGATGATAACTCAACAATGATTGGTGAAGATTTTAGCGCTAATGATGTTCCAATTTCACCCACTTCAAACAGACGTTCATTTGCAAGCAGGTTACGTTCTAATAGTTCAACAACTGCCGCATCATTTAATTCATTTTCTACAACACATCGTACAAACACTCAGCATAGTGCTCCTTCGGTTACGAATACAAACAGTACAGTAGAAATGCGTAACACTCAATCAAAAAAACAAATGGTAGATAAACCTTGGTTCCTTAATTATGATTATGATCCTTCAGAATTGGTATTTAATATGGAAAATTGTGTAAAAGGAGGAACATTAAATGCTTTGGTTGAAAGATTAACTATGCATGATATATTAGATTCTAATTTTATTGCAACATTCCTGTTAACATATAGATCTTTCTGTACAACTGACGACTTCTTTGATATGCTAGTTAAAAGATTTATGATTCAACCACCTGAAAATTTAACCCCTGCAGAGTTAGAGGTTTGGCAAGAGAAAAAGCAAACACCTATTAGATTAAGAGTTTTTAATATCATGAAAACTTGGTTAGAAAATTATTATATAGATGATGATGATGCAATTTGTTTAGAAAGAGTGAAAGAGTTTGCAAAAACAACAATGTATGATAACCTGGCCTTTGCCGCAGTTAGTTTAACAAAAGTTATTTATAAAAGGGTATGTATATTTTTATGTATGTATAAATCATGTAAAGTTTTTACAACGATAAAAACCATATCTCTTTATTTTCAAAATTTATAGCAACAACAACCAAGAGATGCCGTATTTAAAGCAATGGTTATGACAAATTCTGATTCTCCGCCCCCACCAATTTTGCCAAAGAATATAAATAATCTCAAATTTTTAGATTTAGATCCGTTAGAAATTGCTAGACAATTGACCTTAATAGAAAGTAAACTATATAATAAAATTCGACCTATAGAATGTCTAAATAAAGCTTGGAGTAAAGGTGAAGGTGATATAGCAGAAAACATTAATTCCATGATCGAGAGTAGTAATAAGGTAAAATTTATTAGACATTTTAATTAACCATTATATATACTTTTGACTAATTAAAATATTTATTAGATAACCGGATGGGTGACCGAATCAGTTTTAGATCAATCAGAGATTAGGAGGAGATGTTTGTATATCAAACATTTTATAGCGATAGCTGATAAGTGTAGAATTTTAAACAATTTCAACTCACTCACTGCAATTACTTCTGGGTTGTATTCTGCTCCAATTCATCGGTTGAGACGTACATGGGAAACGGTTAATGCGAAAACCATTGCAACTCTCGATATTCTTAGTAAAATTATGAATTCAACAAAGAACTTTGCCGAATATAGAGAAATGTTACATAGTATAAACCCTCCATGCGTACCATTTTTTGGTAAGATAAATTTGTTATTTCATTTATTTATTTTAACAATGATGATAATTCAATTAATAATATTTTTTTAAAAATTATTTTAGGTTTATATTTGACTGATCTTACATTCATTGAAGATGGAAATCCTAATTATCTTAAAAATTCCAATAATAAATTGATTAATTTTTCAAAACGTATGAAAACAGCAGAAGTTATACGCGAAATTCAACAGTATCAATCAGCACCTTATAAACTTAGTCCTGTACAAGAAGTCCAAACGTTTATACATTTTCATTTACGAGATAGTAGTGATGTTAAAGATTTATACAACAAGAGTCTTTTATTAGAACCAAGGTAAATATTTATAATTGCACCTTTTAAGTTGATAAAATGAAAAAGTCGGTTAACAATTTACTTTGAAATAGGGAACGTGATGATGAAAAAATTGCTCGTTTATTACAAGAATCTGGTTTTTTATAAATTGTTTTCCTGATTTTGACAATATTTTGATATTGAAATGAAAATTCAAAGACATTTAAAATGAAAAAAAAAAACATTATGATTATTTCTATATATCATGACGATAAATTTATTGTAAACATTCATGTACAGTATATATAATATTTATTTTTTTCTTCTTTATTTATTTATTTTATTTAGTAATATAAAACTGAAATCAATTTCCTAATATTAAATCTTATTAATTCAATAAATTAAATTATGAAATTAATTTCGCATAAAATTTAATTTATATATTTAATTAGAAATTTAAACTTATAAATTAATAGAATTAGAAAATTTTATTTATATTAACTCATTTTTATTAATTCTATTTTATAAATTCTAAAAATAGACCAATCTTCTGAGTTTAAAAGTAAAAAAAATTATAAATTATAAAATAATTTCATAAGTAAATAAATGTCAAATAACATTTAATAAAAAAATTTATATTTGATAAGTAAAAATTTGTATATATGGTGCTGGAAGTCTATACTCAACAATAAAAATGTAATACTTAAAAAATTTTCAAAACTTTAAAAAAATAAAATTTAGAAAAAATAAAATGGTAACTTTATTATTCTTTAAAATAAGCTCTATTAGATTACCGGTCAGTTTTTTGAAAAAAACTCTACATAAAAATTTATAGCCATTTAAAATTTACATGATTTTGATATAATCGGCCAAAATTTGAAACAAATCTGATCATATGAATGTAGTTTAATTATTCAAAACTTATGATAATTCAGGCTGATACAATCATTATTATAATGCTGGCCCAAATTATCGCAATTAATTAAACTCAAATGATTTTGATTTTTCAATTTAGTTAAAATTAACCTATACTCTTAAATACTACGTAAAACAAAAAGATGATAACATATAAGTAACATAGCTAGAAAAAAAAGGTGTTTTATATAGCAGAAGAAGTTATTAAATTAAAAGATGATATTGAAGGTAATAAAGCCCTATAAGAAATCGAAATAAGGAAATGATACGTTTTTTATAAGGTTTGTATACGTAATTAATGATTCTATATCAAA